CAGCACAGCCCCCAGCCCCATGCCCCAGGCACGATGCAGCATCCTTCGTGATGTGCTGACCAGTGCAGAGCCGGGTGAGACCTGTGCCTCCCACCCCACATAGATCCAGCACCAGAACCCTGCCCACACAGTCCGGGCATGGAGCTGCTCTGCGTCCAGAAAGGAGCGGCAGCAGCATTTCCCCAAGTTTTGAAGATGAGCCCAGCCTGCCTCCAGCTGCAGGGCATGGCCTCTCTGTGGACAAACACAGCATCTCCTAGCTCGTACACGTACCTTGGCTGATGAGACACAGCGATGCTCCGCGAAGGACCAGGTCCGTACAGAACAGCTCTGCAGGAAGATCTCCACCCCTCTTTTTATAAGCGAGCCAGGATTCTCATTATTCAGCACCAGCACAAGCCACTCCCTGGCCTTGGACGTGTTTTACTTTGCGGAGGGCCGGTCGGCTGCCTTGGATCCGCGGTTGGTATGGGGCCAGGGATGGGCCGTGCCTTGGCTGCTCACCCATGCAAACAGCACCCCTCATCTCTGCGCTCTGCTCCCTGCTGCTGGGCAGCCCCGGCCAGCCACTCTCACAGCCCTGTGGCTGCACACAGCGGGAGGGAGAACCCGCAGCCCTGCCCTGTTGCACGGGCCCGTCACTGTGCTCCTGGGTGAGATGTGACCGTCCCGTCTCGCACAGAGCCTGTCCCCTGCCCCACGTCCCATGGACCCTTGGTGTGCTGAAGGGCACTGAATGGGGTCTGTACTATGGCGTGGTGCCACCCCATGGCTGACCCACAGAGGGGCCTCCTGCTGGGGGGAGCACTGGCTGCTCACAGCCACCTCTGTGCAGGGTCTGCCCAGTGACACAGGCTGGCAGTGTGTGCAGTGCTTGTGCAAGGCAGCTCCCAGTCATCCTGGTCAGACCCAGTGCACGGGGAGGATGAAGTGCAGGAAGCACTGCAGGAATGCTGAGGAGCCGCAGGGTCTTTTGGCAGTTTGTTTTCCAGACTTGTCTCATCCCGAATGAAAGGTGTCAATGTAATTAGCGGTGTGCTGAGCTGACAGCCCTTCCAACAGGTGCCCGGCAAATGGCTCTGACAGCAGCGCAGTCATCTGTGCATCCGCCAGGCCCGTGCGTTATGCAAGGAGCTGGGTGGCAAGCCAGCTGCCCCGTGTGGTTAATTGCTGTCTTTAAAACCTTATCTCTGCTGAGACTTTCACTCTGTGTGCACTTACATGTGTGTGCACATCCTAGGGATCCCCTGGCTGCTCACATGATGCCCCAAGAGCCACAAATATCCCTCCCAAAAAGCCCATGCAGGGACAGTCAGGCCATGATGGGCCCCTTCAGGTGCACTAAGACAGAACCGAGGTGAGCTGACAGCCGGGTCCTGGCTGCAGGGCTGCCTGGTGCCTGGGCTGTCCCTCTGTATCTGCCCGGTCACACAGAGCCAAGGGTCAGGGGGAAGCTGAAGCTGAGCCTCCCGAGCAGCTTAATTGCAGGGTGCAGAGAGCTCATCTCCAGCTGGCGGGTGGCTCCTGGCCCGGGGCAAAGGAGGGAGGCACATCAAAGAGCAGGAAGCTGGGGCAGGGCTGGGAGCACAGGAAGGAGGAGAGGTGGGGGGAAGCCGAGCCCAGGGAGAGCAGGAGGTGCCCGGAGCGCTGCTGCAGGAACGGCGCCTCCACCCGTGTCTGGGTGCCAAAGCGCTCTGACCAGATGCTGCTGCCCGCTCCTCACCGTGCACCCCAGGGATGCCAGCTTAGGGCGGGAGGCAATGGAACCCCTCCTTGCACTGAGAGCCTGAGGCACGGAGGGGTCTCCTCCAAAATGCCATCTCCCCCGTCCCCCTCTGCCATGGAGAGCGCCGCAGTGTGCACACTGACTGTGGTACTGGTTAGAAGCTCCACATGGAAGTGCTTCTCAGGGAGCACAGGATGCGGTGGATGCAGGGCTGGATGGCTCCTGGGGCTGCTGCTTGTGGCAGGGTGGTGGAGCTGCCCTGGGATTTTCAGTTGCAAAGGATGGGAGAGCAGCTGGAAAAGCCTCTGTTGGAGGCACTGCAATGACCAGGAGCTCAGCCTCTGCTGTGGGACACCAGCAGCTCCTGCCTCAGCGCTGGAGCAAGAATATCCTGGGGCCACAGCAGAGATCGAGCACAGGGACAACACTGTGGCTCTTCCTCATATACAAGGTTCCTTTCTTCCCTTTCTCTGTCTTCGCCCCTGCAAGTTCATCTGGAGTGTTTTTCTACCTCCTCTAAAGGAAATGTGGTTTTGGGAAGGCCAAACAGGCCAAAACATGCACTGAGACAAAAATGAGCCCAGAGGGGAAAAGGCAGAGAAAAGAAGGGCAGGTGGGAATTCTTCTCTGTTTCTAGGAGTGGCAGAAAGTGCTTTGAAATCTGTTTGTGCAAAATGCTGTAAAAATTCCAATTACAGTTATAGAACCAAAGGAAATAAACAAGCTCTGGAAGCAAGTAGTGGCCTCTGGGATAGAGGAATGTGGTCCAAGGTGACTGCCTGAAAGATGTTGTGATTCATGCGTGTATATTAGTGAGTAATTTTCCACCTCGGAAATTATCCAATTACATATTTAAAACACAAGAAGGCAGAGAGAGGTTTAAGGAGTTGTAAAACTGAACAAGATGTTATTATGCCAAAGCAGTCCTGGCGGTGAAGGTTGCCCTGGTCCAGGTGGGCAAATCCCTGGGGAGAGAAGTCAGTGGGGTCCCTCCCTGCCTGATAGGAGAAAAAATGAAATAGAGCAAATTAAAATAAGGACAGAGAGGTATAGCCAGGCAATCTCCTCAGACAGGACTGCATTGCTGAGGTGGCAGCACTTCACCCCTGTGGACCAGAGCTCAGGTACCGCTTGATCCCAGCCTTCCAGCCTGACCCAGAGGTGCCCCGTACCACGCTGTACACTGCTAAATAAGGGCCAAAAAATGTTTATTTTGCATTTCACTGCTGCGTTATCACTCGCTGTGCTGGGTACCAGGCACAGCGTTGTGTTCAGCCCCACTTGGAGGAGCAAGGAGGGGTGCTGTGGAGGACTCCTCCAGGGCCATGCAGCAGCTTCCAAGGCTGTGCTGTGCCACACCACATCATGTCACAGGGGTCAGCGCTTCAGCCTGGCCCAGGCACTCCTTCCCACACACATCCACTTTTTGGCAGAGTCCTTCAGTGGTTCCCAGCAAACTGAAGCATTTATCAAATGCTCGTCCAGCATACTTGGAGCTGTGGTGGGACTTTGCACAAGCTGCAGATCACTGCAGCAGAGGTGATGGCTGTGCCCTGAGTGGCTGCAGTGAGGCTGCTGGGCTGGAACTCCTCTGCCTCAGTGCAACACAGGCCTGAGTGTTCCCCGGCTGGAGCTTACCCTGTACAGAAAATAAATAGCATACATTCTGCACCCAGTGCTCTGGCTTTGTTTCAATCCACAGTTAGGCTTTGAAATAGCACAGAGATACCATTCATGGTGAGCTTTGTACTGGTCAGGGGATTTCAGGAATGATTAATTCACTTCTGTAGCATTGACACATAAGTCTGGAGCAATGTCTTCTATTCTGCTACAAAAAGTGATTCAGCTGATGGAAGAGGTAGCAGTGATTTGGACATCAGTTATAGCAACAAAATAGATTTGGTTTTCCACTTTCTAACACCTTCCAGACAGCAGCAGAGGTGTGAGGAAGCTGAGCACAGGCAGAGGGAGCTGCTCGGACACCTCACACACCAGCAGCAGTGCCAGGAGCAGAGCTGCTGCATCTCAGTCTGTGTTACAGCATTAAAATGGAGCAGCTCTTCCTGGACTACATGCCTAAATGCTCACTTTACAATCAAAGCAGCTGTTTTCTTCAAACTCACCTGTTTCAACTTTCATCAGTGTCTTCACACACGGTGAAGGAAGATGGGTCAGGCTGCTCCAGATCACTCTGCTGCTCTGGCTGTGTGCTGGAGCTGCCAAGGGAACTGCCTGGTCCTCCAAGAGAAAGACACGAGGCCAAAGAACCTGGCACAGCACTTGGGGGTGGACAACCTTGCAGGTGCAAAGCAGTGCTGCAAACCCCTAGGCGGTGGGAGACAGAGACCCGCTCTGCAACTGTTCTGCTTGCAATCCATGCTGGGAGATGAACCCCTCGAGGGAAGTGAAACTGTCCACCCTGAGAGAACTGAATCACTGCACAACAGACATGACAACCACACCTGACCATCGGTGCCTGAAGCTGCCCCCTCCCAGCCAGGTGATGCTGTCGTGGCACTGAGCAGGCGATGTGCACGCAGGGGTGGTCAGACTGAATAGCAATGTGAAAAACCATTCACTATATCAAGATGCTGCCAGAGAAGGCATTGCACCATTGTGCCTCTGGAGCTTCTATCAGGGAAGAACTGTTATTCCACATTGTTCTAGGTGAAGGCACAGCTGTGCTATGTCCTCGAACACACGCCAGGGAGAATATGATCTGGCCATGCTGGTAACATCCCTGAGGCTCTTCCAGCTCTGCTGTGAATTACTGCACTCCACCTGGCTCTTGGCCAGGCCCCAGAGGTGGCTCTGGCTCTGTTACAAGTTCTCATGCTATTTGTAGCATCTCTCCCACCCCCAGCACTCAGGCAGCTGGCTGAGAAACATGCTGTTATTGGTTTGTTAAAAAGGCATTTCTCAGCATTGTGGTTTCAGAAGAAGCTGAAGACTCACTTTTGAAACCCCAGCCAGAAAGACAGGTGCTTCTGCTGCTGGTGTTTTGCTATTTACAGCGTCATTGTGTCCAGAGCAGCCCAAGGCTAGGAAGATTAAGACCTAGGACACACGGAATGGTTTTGAATTTGTAAAGCACAAAATGAGCCTCCAGCTGAGATGCGCTGGGTGGCACTGTTGCAATGGATGCAGCTGGGCCAGCAGCAGTCAGTGCAGGGCAGGGCTCAGCAGCCTCACAGAGCTGATGTAGCTGTTGTAGTAATCTTGAGTACAGCCTTCTAACCTTCATTTAACATGTTGAACACTTTTTTCTTTTTCAGGTGGTAATGATGATGTTCATCTTTGATCTTTTCTGCGTGGCGGTTTAACCCAGTGGCTCCTGCTAGCAGTGGGTAGGGACAGCACGTGAATTTACAGCTTCTGCATCTGAAACCCTCAGCCCTGTTTCCTTGCCAGAGCGCATGAATTTATTTGTCTAACCTCAGTCTTTCAAGCTGAACTTCACTCATCACATAAGTGGGAGGCCACAGCTGCCTGCACAGTGCTGCACTTCAACACTGAAAAATGATGTGGATGAAAAAGTTTAAAGATGGAGGTTCTTTAGTCAAGATTCAGTACAGTCTTCAGATACATAAAAAGCAGTTATGAATGGAACAGGCTCCTGTCTGTGTCTCCCACTGGTGGAGGAGATGTTTGAGGGTTGAAGTCAGGAGCCCTGGGTACCCAAGTCCCCATGTAGACCTTTGAAAACAGGACTGCACCACAGCAACAGAGGTATGGTGCTGAGGAGAGCAGCCTTGGGTAATGTCCCTGCTGGTTTCAGGAACATTGCTGTGTGTGAGAATACTGCCATCACTGGCCTCCTTCCCAGTAACGTTTCTGGCAGAAATACAGCTCCTCAGCTACAGGTTCAAAGCCAGATATGCACAAAGGGATCTTAAATCCAGCACCCATCCACCTCCATCCCAGGTATCAAAGCAATAGGCTCCACAGACTGTTGCCAACACAAGTTGGTCAGATGCACGCTTTGGCCAGGAAAAAGAGTATCTGTTAATCTGGGCCTGCTTGGCAGAGCAGAGCAGCTCACATCCCTTGCCCTTTGTTGTTGTTTTTTTTTTTTGGCAGTGCTCAGTAACCAGACAGTGCCTTCGAGGCCATCATTTGGAAGAAAAGTGGCACATAGAAATATTCCAATTGCTAACATTATCTAAGAGAAATTACGCACCATTGCCTATGAACACTTCTCCAGATGCTGGCTGTTCTCTCAGCCAACAGACTGCAGATTACCATTCCAGTGCAGCAGTTAACATTTGGTATCGCTCAGCTCCTGACCCATTCTGCAATTGTTTGAACTCCCCCAGACATACAAGAACAGCAGACCTAGAGTGTCATTCATTCCCAGCTGTGGTAACAACTTCTGAAGCCCAGAGGAAGAAGCATGCATTCTTATTCTCTGTGTGTCTCCCTGTACAGCTAAGCACATACAAGACCATCAATGAGGGATCTCCATAGCAACTTCTTGCCTCTGCCTGAGATGAACTGCTTCCTCTGCAGCTCTTGCTGCTTAGAAGCTTTCTGGTTTCTCTGGACTTATAGAGATCTTTATTTACTTACTTTATCTTTATTTACTCCACCCCCAATGAACCTCACCCTGTAAACTCTCTCCCTGTGCTGCCAGTTGAGGATTCATGTTGGGTGTAAGCCAAATACTACGGGTTCTCTGAGGTCAGGGACACACACTGAGATTTGTCACTATTCTGGGTCTTGCTTTGTGGTTCAGACAGAGAGATCCTGGAGCTATTTGGAGCACCCAGACAGATACACAGCGCTCATATCGGCGGCTGCAGAAGTTCCCTTGCTGTGTTAAGTTGGCCCAGAGCAAACACGACATGTAGACAATCACTCCTTGGCTCCCAGAGGCATCATAGAGAACTAACCCCATGTGAACAGGAAAACAGAACTATTTTGCAAAGACTGAAGGAGCTGTATGTCTTAAAGTATCATGAAGAACACGCAGGAAAAGGCAGGACTGCCATGGTCTTAGCAGCTGGCCATTTGTAGGAAAGCCACAGCCTCCTACTCCTCATGGGATACCAGAGCAGAAATGAGCAAGGATTTCCATGGGATATCACTTAGCTTCTGACTTATCTGTCCTCCAGGCTTGAAGGTCATTCTCAAAAGGAATTAAGCTTTCTTCCCTATTACTCATTAGCAAGACAATGATCTCCCTCAATGACTGCATAATGCAACATGCTACAGTGATCTAACTGCCTCAGGGAGCAGATTTTAAAACCACGTTTTCTCTGGACAGCAAACAGCTGCTGGAAGATGGGAAGGGACCTGCTCAGTCAGCTTGGCTCTCCCCCGCTGGATCAGAGCTCATGTACTGTACAGAAACATCTGATATTGCTCTTCCACGTCAGCACTCTCACCCCCAGCCATCCATGCAGAGCTCCCAGCAAGGCAGAAATCAGACTGGGCTGTGGCAGCTCACCAAGCACTTCTCAGAGGGACAGACCAAGGGACTGGGGCTCCCGTGCTGTGAAATCCTAATGCCGGCTCTGGCATGAGGTCCTCGCATGGCCTTGGGCACTTTTTGGCTTGCAGGTCTCAGTTCTGTCTGTAAGAAGAGCTAATCCTTATTACCTGACAGCTGTAGCATTTGGATTAATTACATGGAGAATGCTGAGGCAATGAATAACTTGCATCAACACTCTCTCACCAATGTCACTTGAGGGAAACCACATAAAATACCAACAGTGGTAATGTGTGTGTTTGCAGAGGCCTTTCTCTGGCTGCCTTTTGCTAATGAAACACAGGGCCTGTGGAACTGTAAATACACTGCTGGTCTGGAAATGGCCTTCGCAGCACAGGCAGTGGGCTTGTTGAGACCCCCCTGAACTAGATAGCTGAGAGACCTAAGCAAAGGCAGCCCAACTTAAGAGGCTTTTTGCTTTACATCCAAGACTGAACACAAACAGCCACCAGGTGCGGCTCCAAAATAGGGATCTTCTGAGGAACCTTTTCTCCAATTGCTTCTTCCCTTCCACTCATTCCTACCAGCAGTCCAGACTAGGAGCTGCTGGAGGAAGGATCTCATTCCTGTCACTGCCTTAGTACAAAGCCACCTTGCAGAGAGGAACTGGCCTGGTAACTGAAGCCATTAACTTGAAAAGCAGCACAAACTTCTCACTGCCCATTTCTCCAAGTAAACTTGACCAATTCCATTGCCTCTCCTTCTCCTCACCCCATTTTTTACTTCAGTGCTAAAAAAAAATGGGTATAATCAACCAACACAAAACTGCTCAGGACACTGAGATGTTCACAGGGGGAAAGAAACGTAGAAATGAGCAGTGGAGACACAGACATGTGCTTTACAAATCTCACAGTTTATTTTCCTCTGTGCAAATTAGTGCTACTTAACATTACTCACATTTCACAGTGCAAGGGGCAGAAGTGATTTCAACACTGCCTAAACAAGCTGCAGTGCAGTGGGACAGTGGAATCATTCTGGGTACCAGATCCCAGACAGCCTCCATGTGATTATGGTCTGAAATAAAACAAGAACTGCATAGCCAGCATTTTCAGAAGTTATTTGTAATACAAGCTACCTCCACGGCATATCCAAAGGAAGCCTGCTGCCTCCTTAGGCCTCACAGCATTCAGTTGTATCCAGTCTCCAAGCAGTTACAAAGAGCAGCATATAAAAGTTTAAGGCACAGCTTCAAAGTCATAGCTATCCAAGACAGATGAGGAAAGAGCAAATTATAAGCTCTTTTCACATTCATTTAATTTCACAGAAGTCAAAACAGAACAAAACTTAGCAGAATGGGAAGCTGGCCCCCTAGAATGACAAGGCAGATCACCACTGGCTGCTTTGCTGGTGTTCACCACTTGGAAAGAGGACATGAGGTGTGAGGTTTGGCAGCCTCAGCGCTTGGAAAAATGATTGAATGCCCCAGATATGGCCAACAGGAGAGATCCTCAGAGGTATTTTGCAAAAGCAGCTCGTATCAGTTGTCGTGTCATGAAATTCTGAGGAGACGATTACGTGTGACGTACAAATTTCATTGTGCAGTATTAATTAAAAAGAAATGCATCACCTGAAACATCCTTCCAGAGCTCGTAGTCAGGCCAAACTGACTGCACACTGTCCTTTTTTCACCTGGTACCTAACACAGCAGTTAAAGGAGCTAAATCTGTTTGCTACATAGATTCAAGTCTGTCTCACACAGCTCATCAGCAGTGGGTGGAAAGATCACTGGCTGAGGGGCAGCTCAGATACCAGGAGATATTACAAGGGCTTTGCCCTGCCTAGTCTGTCTCCAGTTGCTGGACACAGTGCTGGGAGAGAAGAACCCTTCTTTGCAATTGGGTAATGAGGCTGTTTAGAGGCACTGCTGCTGTTTTCTTGGAAAGAGCAAACAGTTATGGAGCAGCAGAGCTTCCTACCAGTACTGTGAAAACAAAATAAGGCTGTGATTGACCCATTTTTAATCAAATGGAAAACTGCTTTTGTTTCCCATTTTAGCTTCTTCCCTATGAGACATCTCATAGCAACAGCTTCACTCTGCTATTAGCAGCCTATCCTTGTAAGGAAAACCAAGAGCCCAGTAATGAGTCCAATTTATCACTAGGGGAGCTCAGCTGACCTAGTTACAATAGCCACATATTTGATCTGTTATGTTAACCTTCCTCTGTCTTCTCCACAGTTAAAAGCAAAACACCTTTCAACTTCAATCAGGACAGCGGGGGATACAAAGACCAAGGGAGGAGACAGTAAAGACAATTTTCCTCCGTATCCCATAACACAAGATGCGAAGCCATAACCCAACCAAACTGAAGACACAAACATCTAAAGAGGAGATGCACCAGGAATTAGTACAGGACTAAGTCAGCTCTAAACTGTGCGTACATACAAGCCCTGGAAGGATGTTTGAAGGATGGCCGTTCACAGTGTGGCTCCAGGAATGTAAAGCCAGTCAGCAATGGCAGTGGGCAGATGAGTCATGACTTGCAGTCTCATCCACCAGTAGGTCTCCATGGGATTGTAGCGGTTGCTTGGGTGTGTGGAGACGAGCGCGTTGGTGATGTCATTCAAGACAAGAGACATGTCCTTCAGGCCGCTGTTAACAAAGGACTTCATCGTGGCCACGTGGCGAGTGAAGTACTCCCTGCCATAGTCCTCCCGCACGGTGTTGCTGGCTCCACTCCACAGCACCTCGGCCTGCTTGTCGATGCCGTCCTCTGTCAGGATGCCAGTCGCTGCCACGAAGTTACTGGGCTCGATGAGGATGACTTTGACCCCCCAGCGATACATCTCCTGCCGGAGGCAGTCGGAGAAGGCAGCCACCCCAAACTTGGAAATGCAGTAGCAGGAGCGAGATGGGCTCACCATCCGTCCTAACATGCTTGTGATGTTCACTACACGGCCTGGAGAGGAAAGAGCAATGAGAAATGACTGACTGGTTGTTCCCAGTGAGGTCAGCATGGGCTACAGGAGCAGCAGTGACGACGTTCTAGTAAAAAGGTGCTTTGTTGGATGGCACTGATTTGTGAAATCTGTATCTTGAAGTAGTGTCCAAATCTTCTGTCAGGAGTCTCTCCAGACTCAAGCAGGCCAGCCTCAGCTCTGACCTCTTCAGTGGGTGGTCCACATACCTGCCTATGTACAGAGAAGGATGTACAAAGCATACAAGACATCTTCTTCCTTCTAATTTCCAAGTAAGTCAGCGTCTGTATCTTCTCAGGCTACTAGCTGTATGCTCTTACACCAGTGTTCACCAGTAGAACCAGTGAGCCTGCAGCACAAGAGCTGTAATTTTCTCACCTCACTGGTTGGCCAGGACTGCCTACAGCATGGGATACATGGAGAAGAGACTTGATGTGCTTCTGTCTATGGCACAGCAAAGAGCATTTGTTCAAACGCTTACGAGCAGCCCATGTCAGCCTAACAGCAGAGCCCTGGCAGCTTGTGCTAGATCACTGTCTGAGGGCAGTGGTGGTAGTAGCAGTCACCCCTCCGTGGGGAACTGTCCTTCCTCACCAAGTGTGGGATTACAGCTTCGGCTACGCTTACAAGACAGGCCCTTGAAATCTCATCAGCTATTCCCACAAAGAGGATTTTCACAGCCATGGAGTATGACACCTTTCTGCAGCTTGAAACTTCAGCCGAGAAACAAGTGGGTGGTTCTGTACTCTCATTACAGAGCAAAGCAAAGTTTGGAGGGACTGTGAGAACCACTTACTGATCTGATGGATAAGTGGCATTCTGTAGTAAGATGGGGCTCGTTTAGTGGGTACTTTCTGGAAATGGTATCCGAGCAATCTGCTCAATATAGCCTCTTTCTGTCCTCACAGAACATATAGCTGTACCAGCATTCTCCCACACACACTAAATAAAGAAGTTCTTCAGAGCTTTGCTCATAGGTATCTTCCCCCCCTCCATAAAATAGAATTTTGATGGTAACCACCTTTTTGTATGCTATATAAAATGGCTGTTATGGATTCATTTATTCCATGACTACTCCTCTGCAATCATCTGTGAGCTGAGTAAAACAAAGGGAAAGATTCAGCCGTCCAAACTTAAGCACTCATGGTGACTTTGGAAACCAGAAGCATCTTTTTTATGGCCTCCAGACACTTTTTCTAAAGGTGGCTCAAGTTCTCCTGTCATCTCTGCCAGCGATGCTTGGAAGTCTTTGATATCCCGGAACATTTAAGATCACACCTGCTGTGTAGTGCTTGTTTGGAACACAATACATCAAACAATGCTGTCTATTTTGCCTGCATGCCACAGACACCTTGGCATTCTTTGAAGCAATCTGGTTCATACATTTTAGCTACGCTTCTTTGCTGCGTGGCAAAATATCCATGAACCTTCCCACACTACCCAGCATATACCTTTAGCTCTGCGAATGAGGGGCAGAAAAGCCTTCGTCACCCTCACGGTGCCCCACAGGTTGATATCTGTCACCTCCTTGTAGTTGTCTAAACTTGTAAATTCCACCTCTCCAAAAGTTGAGACACCAGCATTGTTCACCAGGCCCCACAGACCTGCCAACAACAACAACAAAGTTAAAGAATGGAACAAGGAAGAATGTCACAGAGAAGCTCTCTTCACAGTAACCCAACACCTTGACAAAGAACTGGACACTTTCATAGGAAAAAAGTTATAGACAAAAACCCTGCAAGGAGAAAAATTATCCTAAAGATACCAGATATCAAATTTATAGGGCTTATTTGAAGCTTCTGGGATTGTGAGAGGGGTCCACAAGCATAGCAATCCTGAATGTCTCCTCCAAGGCCAGAGGCTGTACTTTGTCTCTGTATGGTTGGATCCTGTTGGCCCTCTTTTATACCTTTTCTAAGTCCCAGGTTTGTCTTCTCTCATGGACTTTATCACACCCTCCTGCATTCTGAAGAGGGTTGGACTTTCCCTCAATTAAGCAAACAAAAAAAAACAGAAAGAAAACAACTATCTTAGATCTCTACATCTTCTTCACAACTCTGGGATGTGATGCACTACCTGGGAAAGCGTGCAGCATTGATCTGCAGGATCATGGCCAGTTACCAGCTCCTGGACTTCAGTCCAGATATTCGGACTCCCTCAATCCTAACTATTGTAGGACATGGCAAATTTAGAACCAACCCTTAAACTACTAGAATTAAAAATTGAGCTTCTATTGTGCATGCAGTCCCATCAGGATTAAATAGACTGCACTTATCACAAGCTCCTGCACTCAGCCCCTTACATGCCCAAGATTTAGCAGGTCACTGAGCATTTGAGCCTTTGAAGTTATTACTGTAGGAATCCCCATGGCAAATACTTTAGGGCGGAGTCCACACTTTGTGAAATTGCTGAAGCACAGGACTATGCAGCCATAAACTGCAGTAAGAACAAACAGAAGAGCTGGAACAAGATAAGAATTCTCCTAATTAGCTGTCCTGATGTTGTTATTTTTTGTGTAAGTAGCAAGCTTGAACTGGGGCTCCATTCTACTTTCCAACCCACTTCTCAGTACTAAGAACACACCTAGGAATGGGAAATAACATTTGTGTACAGCTCCGGAGCTCAGACACAGCTATTGCAAGTCCCCATGCCATGCCACTGTGACACAAACTTAACAAACTCTGAAAAAAATTGGGCTGTTTGCCCAGCCTCTGTTCCACATCTCCTCTGCTCTCATGTATGAAAGTCTTCCAGCCTAGATTTATTTGTGGTGAGATAGTAACCACATATTTTACTAAATACAGTCTTAAGCAAATTGCAACATTCCCCTATTCACCCAATAAATGTCAATAGAATGTATTTTCCTGGTTCATTTTAAAAGCCCAACCTGCCCTTGCTAGGCTGGCTTTCATGATGGCGATGGTAGCCCTCTCTGTCCTCCCACAGCTGGGAAGCTGAGTTTACTTTCCCTGAAAGCTTCTGGCCAACCCATGTAGAAGGGAACAGAGGAAGTCATGTCCTACCCAGTGATAACCATACATTCCCTCACAGTCTATCCCAGTCAGGCCATGCAGAACAAAGAGCTAATACTTAAATGGTCACAAGGCTGTTTGCAGGACAGTGGTGTGTTTATAGAGCACAGCCTTATCACTATTACTTCTTTAATGTCAATAATGCAGTGGGAGCTACATAACTCCGAAGACAAACAGTGGGACTCCCAACATCAGAATGAGTTTAGCTTTATGTACACAGTGGAAAGAGGTAGAGGAGTCTAACACAAGAACTGTTCTGTGCTACCTCCTTCAGGGCTACACTTGGTGTGCAACACACCTCAGTTTGAATACAGACTGTATTCCAGTATGTTACTGAGCACTATTTATGAGTAAGCTTCAACCCTCAGTCACATGCCTCCCAAAAAGAGGTCTTTACTGCTTTGCAGTCTGTGCTGCAGCAACCAACGACAAGGTAAGGCTCTCAAGAGCAGGAAGAACTGGTCCAACTTGCTGATCAAGGGCACAAGCTCTCACTGTTCATTTTGCACACAAGATTCTGTGAACAGTGCTGCATTTATAGGAGCAACAGAGCTGCCCCCTTACAAATTATCTCACAGTGGGAAATGGCACCATGCCACCACTGCTGCTGCTGGGTTCTTCAGGAAAAGCTTGAGAAGCTATGAAATGTGTGATGAGGGCTGGATGATTGCGTAGGAAGAAAAATCATGCAAAGCACGTGTGGGAACAGAGCTTGTATGTAACTCAGTTTCATATGCTTCTTTTAGGAGGAAAGGTGTGCTACATAATTTGCAAGAAGATTAGAGCTGTTATTCACTAGCTTTAGGCATTTATATGAATTAGGACAGGCTCACGGTAGCCTCATCCAAGCCTCAGGAGCAGTCACCATCCAGCCACACAACCCATTAATGCTGGAGACACAGATGTGAAACTTCACCCTCAGCCAAGCTCTGTAGCTGCTGCCCAGCTTGTTATTCACACAGAGGCTGCACAGAAACCCAGAAAGGGCAAGAAAGCCTCACAGCCTCATTATGCGGGAAGAGGTGAGGTGTCACACAGGCCCTGGTTGTAAGCTCATATCCCACTGCCAAACCACTCACAGAAGCTGTCTGAAGCCCAATCTAGGAGCCAAGCTGTGCTGCAACAGCAGTGCAATCAGTCACCCTTCCCCAGGTACCTCTCCTCCATTTAAGCCCAAGTGCAAGGGTAGACATGGAGCATCCTACTACCTGTATCTTGAGCTGTCTGCACTCTTATGGGCTGCTCTTCTCCTGCCTTCCCACCCCACACACATTCCCAAGCAAGAAGAAACATGAAAGAATTATCTTCTTTTGCATGCTCCTAAGGCCCCTGAATTGGACTTACACTTGAGGCTGCATGCAGATTAAGGTGGTCTGTGCTGAGCCTATCTTGAATTCTGTCTCACATCACAGCTAGAGTGTTGCATGGCAGACTGAAAGCATGGACTGGCACAGATGAAAAACAATCTAGATTTGGGTCCAGGTCAGTTTTATGGACCAGATCAACACCTGATCACACAAGCAGGTTGTACCAATATAGGAATAAGCAGCCAGGGGGAGGACCATGACCTCTCCATAAGCAGGACTGCTATAGAAAAATCTGTGAAGCTGTAACAGGAGCATCAGAAGAGAACCAAGGTCTTGCCATCCTATGTTACTGTGGTCACTCAGAGAAATAAGTTTTTAAGGACATGCTGCTACTCATCACTTTTTACAGGATGTAAGGTTAGAGTCTTAGCATCTAAGCCAGTCTTGGTCTCTCGTTCTGGCACTGATGTGCTGGCCACATGGGAATTCCCACTGACCCAAATACAGCACTGCCTGACCGTCAGGCCTTCAAGCTTGTTAATCATGTTTTGGCATTGCAGCACAGGAACAACCTGGCCAGAGTTGGGCCTGATCCATAGGAAGGATTCCATGAGTGCACCGAAGAATCATCTGGCCCAGAAAAACAAAGATTCCCACACACCTTCCTCTGGGTCTTTCAGGGTCTTCTTCACATAATCCACAGCCTCAGCCACCTCCTGGTCACTGCACACATTCATCTGCAGCACTTTCATGCGATCTGACTTCATGTCCTTCAGCTCCCTGGCTCCGTCTCCATTCTTATCCTGCTCAGCAGAAAAGAAAGATGCCTTGCTAAGGCAGGCATATTCACAGAGACAGGAAATACCACCTACTGAAACTGCATGCAGAGGTGTAAACCTGGTACAGAAACAGGCACACAAGACACACGACCCACTGTGCAACCCATGGCTATAATCTGTCCCCTCCAGCACAGGGAACATCTACATCACGATCCACTGCTCTGAAGGGCCAAAGCCCTTCGTGTTTGCTCCTTGTGTGAAGGGTTTCACAATCATAACAATGTCAAATAATGCGTCAGCTCAGGATAACTGCAGGTGGCTCTCTGCTGCCCCAATCCCCATGCTCCATAGGTAACTCAGCAAACATTATACACAAATCAGAGGCTGCTTTTCTAGGCTTAACAGCAAAAGGCTAATTAGGTACCTTACTCATGTAATTCCAAAATACTGTTTAGCTTCTAATGAGATAGTAGTGTCAGAAAGCAAGACACTAGGGTCACCTCTGGCATGCCTACCAGCAAACAGTTTGATGCTACAGGATACAGCAGAAAGCCTACAACCTACATAATGGTAATATTTTGCACTAAATATGCAGCAGAACAGCGTGCATAGTAAAGCATGAACTTGAAGATGTCTATAATTTTGTCTTGTGCAGCTGAAGCATGAAAGGAGGAAGTTCTGTCCAAAGAAACAAGAACAAGGCTCTACCAGTAATATGATGGCTTCCTTTCTCTCCTTTTCCTTTCTTCTGTCTTTTCTGCAAGGTACTTCTCTCCTTCTCAAGACTTCATTATTAAAGAATGATATGGAAATGTTTGAGAAAAGTAGTGCACAATTAACTTACAATAATGAAGATAATTTTATGAGCCCTTAGCTTCTTATCAGCTTACTGCTGTTACCATCAGACATTCTGTTACTACTTGTTGGTTGGTTTTTGGTGGTTTTTTGTTTGTTTTTTTTTTTTTTTGCATACCAAACCTAAATGTGGTTTGTGTTTCAAATTTTACGTGGTCACTTCCAGACAGGATCGATAGCCAAGTTCAGCTATCATACAAAAAAATGAGACTGAATAGAGCACAGATTAGCCACGCAGTTCCTCAGCAGGCTCGAGATATAGCTCACCAAACTACTCCCTGAAGTACAGGATCTGCCTTGTTAGGGAGGAAGAAGTTATGAATAGGTGAGTCACATGCCTGGCTGCCACTCTTCCTTTAGTACTTGATACCAACACCCACCCACAGCACAAGGGCAAACAAGGAGAGCAACACACTGCCTGCACAGCAAAGCTAATGTAAAACTGTAACCACTTGTTTTTCTACACGCATCTCAAGCTACTTATTCAATGAGCACAGCATAAACCACCCTGCCTCTACCTTCAGCTCGGTGAACAGTGACATGTTATGAAGGAAAAGAGCAGAAATTCCATCCAGGCATTGAGAAAAACAGGGTTCCCCTGTTAACATGAGCATATGATTACTCCAGATTTATGGTAACAGTAGGAATCTGCTTCTGTCCCTATGGCTGCAGATCATATCACAGCTGACCTATTTCAAGGTATCACAAAAAGTTTTCCAGTGCACAGTGACTCTTATCCAGCCATGAAAGGAATCTCTAAAGTGACATTACAAGTAGTTAACAACACAGTCATCAAAATACTATATTCCCTTTGAAATGAGTGAAGGCTGTGTGATGTCTCACTGTATTTCTAGAAGATGCTCTTGCATCTCAGCTCTGAATTACACAAAGTTCTGAAGAAGTTTACTGTATCTCACTGCAAACAAACAACCACAGCTGTAATCACAGAGCATAGAACACATTTCCCTGTGTTGCTTTTCTTTTTCTTTTTCTTTTTTTTTAATCTTTCATAGTCTTCATGATATAAAGAAATAGTTCCACTGTTTGGTTGGTTGGTTTTTTGAGAAAAAACTTGCAGATCAGCAACTTAAAAGTCCAATATAAGTGTATTATTCACATTGAAACGTATTTTCCCCTATTCCACTGCAACTCCATCTGCAAAGTTACCTTCCCAGCTACAAGTTAATTGCTGTTGACAAAACACAGTGATCTTGGAAGACTGATTTCAGCAAGAAGACACCATTCCAGACACCATTTAGCTATAAAACCAATAGCTCAGGGCACCTCAGGGACAGTGAGCACACTGTACAGTTCATATGCTCCCATGGTTCCCCCTCATTTTTTGAAGGCTGGTTTTGAACCTGGCATTTGTTCTTCTTCACACACTGGCCGGTTCCTCTACCCTTGCAATCCTGTCCAAGCTGCCACCAGAATGGGGGGGGACAACATCTTGGTCCCATTGGCAGCGCTGGCCCTGGCAAGGCTTTGGGGCTTTGGGCACTTGCAGTGATTTCTGGGAATCAAGAAGCAACAAACCCAGTGCTGAGTACCATCGGCGAGCTGCCACCTCTCCCACTGGCACCCTCCCACTCCTCATCCCTGTGCTCCTTCTCCTCACATGTGCCTCAGACCTACCCACATCACGCAGCAACTCAGGCACAGCTTTGCTGTGACTGCTTCCCAGAGCGAGATGTGACACGGCACAGCAGGACATGGGCTGACTCATGGCGTTTGCATCCTCCTGTCACCTTCAGCTCCCTCACTGCTGCCTACCCACCCATTCCTTCTCCACATTTCCCCAGGAAAAAATGCTTGTATTTGTCATTACCGGATTTCAGCTATTTGTTTTCAGATTGCAACTGATTTGTTGGCATCATTTTGAATACTACTCCCTCAGGGACCTGCAATCCTCCCTGCTTGACACTACGCACATATTTATTTTTCCTCTGTGTGAACTGTGTTCCAGGGCACTTCCAAGAAAATTTCACTGGGACTGAACAGCAGTCACAGGCTTAGAGCGTAAGTTTGCTCGTCAGACTACGAGGGACTGCATCAGAAGCCTTATTTGAGGTGTATTTATTCCTTCCCCTTTAACCACACTGCTGCTTAGCCAGAATGAGATTAGGCTGACATGGCACAACCTGTTCCCAGTGAACTCGTACAGCACACATGACACTGTGATCTAGGCATTTATCACACTGACAGTTCTGTGTGTTGCAGCTTCATCTCATGTGCAGGAGGTAAGCTGCCTGGTTGATAACCTCACAGGTCTGCCTCCTTTTGAGAGACAAGTACAGCATCTGCCCTTTTTCAGCCTTCTGGAAATGCCTTACCTTCAAGAGTTCCTAAAGATATTACCCATGGTAGAAACCTCTTTGGCTCACCCTATCAATGCTCTTTTGGGACATTTATTACATTAAGAAAAACTTATTTCCCCATGAGGGTGGTCAAACACTGGAACAGGCTCCTAGGAGGTAACTGATGCCCCAGACCTGTCAGTGTTCAAAAGGAATTTGGATCACATCCTCTATAATGTGCTAACTTCTGATAAGCAACCAGGCAGTTGGACTACACCATCTCTGAAGGTCCTTTCCAGCTGACCTACTCCATTCTATTTAATCAGGCCTTTCTGTGACCAGTAAGTAGTACATCAGGGAACCTTTCATTCTCAGCACAAAAGGGAGTAAGCAATGATGGAGTAACTAGGTGTGAACTAACAGGCTGCCACCTACTTTGTGACAACTGCCCCCAGACCTGTTGTGACCCTGCAGTGAACCTACAACAGCTCAGGTGTTCTTTGATGACAGGGTAAGTTGCTTTGCATCTGCCATAAGCAGTTTCATGTACACTGCCAACTCTCACAGGCATCCTTAACCACAATGCATACGCACAGCTTGACTTACTAATAATCACTCACATGCTCCTATCTTACTCTTCACTAGTGATCTTACCTAACAGCTCTCTGCCTTCACTGCTGTCTCTTACTTCATTTGGACCGATCACCCTTTTCTGCTCTGTGCTTCCTTTTCTTGGAAGAGTCAGCTCTAGATTTCATCCCAAATACATTCTACCATTAGGTTTTCAGCAACCTCCTGCTCAAAGTTCTGAGGACGCTTTCCCCCATCAACCATCTAAAACCCAAAGCTGTTCCCACTCTCTACCTCTTCAGGATCAAAGCACTCAGTTAACATCTTAAAAGTCACGTGCAGACCAACTATGATTGCTGATGAATTTCCCACTTACACAGTTCAAGCGGGGATCACAACAATTTTGGCTGTTAGTAAAAAGCTGCCAGACCAGATCACAGAGGATGCCAGCAGCTGCCAGGCCACTCTGGGAACAAGTAATAGTACGTAATCAGAAATATATATCATTTTTAGTGTCAGTAAAGTGAGCAAACAAGGCTCATATTGTGTGCACTTCAATTTTTTATGCATCTTCAAATCCAGTCTGTTCCTGTCTGCTGTGCAAAAGCATTGCTGCCTTCTGAAAGAGCCTCCTCAGAACCCCTGTAACCCCTTTTCTGTTTCCTACACCTGCTCTTGTAGAAAGCGAGCGCCTGACTTGCTATCACTACAAAGACAGACACCCCAAAGTAGCAAATGACATGATCACTGAAGGATTTACAGAGCCTCCACATGGAAATTTCCCAACAATGGCAGCTTTCCAAGAGGGATTGTTTGTTCTTGAGTTACACAATGTGTCAGCTGATAACTTTCCCTGCTGGTCCGGAGGAAGAACGTAACCTCCGCTGAAATCACACAGGCAAGGATGGCCACACTGCTTTTCCATTGTTCTTGCCCTTCACAAATTTCATCAACCTGTGGTCATCACTCTGAGCATCTGGACTGGAACAGACATATTGAAATAGCATCTATTCCACTGAGAAGCAGTAAGAGAGCAAAACCAAAGAGTTCCACTATCTATTTAATGTCATCTGTTAGCACTAGAAGTGATGATTGTTACACTGTCAACTGAATTCACTTATTACATTTGATTGACTTCCCTCTTATTTTGGCTTAAGGAAATAGGTAAGTCAGTTTTCCTCTCGAACTCTCCAGTGCGTGTACTGATGTGTTAGAAGCAGCACTTGCACCAGAAGAAAATAAAACATCTAAGAAATAACTGAAATAAAGACGTGAAGTACCCATTAAGAGAGATGGCAATTGACAGCACTGGACAATACTGGAATTAAAATGCTCTTTCTGGTTAAGAGTCACCAGCGGAACTCCCAAAGGACAAACCTCATTCACTGTTTTTCATCAGTGACTTTCATCCATAACACAGGAGGGTGCATGACAAAAATCAAAGGTACAGAGAAGCACAGGACAAAAATTAGAGTGTGAAATAAACCACAGAAAAGCCAGTTACGAGCCTGGCACTCATTTCGATTGGTGTGTTTAAGGCAATGGACGATGTTTAAGAGAAATTATGTGGGCAACTTTGTTTAGACTAGATAACAAATGTTGAGAGAAGCTTTGAGCACATTGTCGTTCCATCCAGGGAAGAGATAAGAAACTAAAGATCATTTGATAGACAAACGAGCAGGCATGAACTGATTTTAAACAATTAATGCTGGAAATTACATAAGTTTTGATAATCTAAAGAGGAAAAAAAAAGAATAAAACTTCAGATGGAAGTGGATCGTGCCCAATTTATGGAGGATTACACAACATGATTACCTGCAAGAACAGGGACTGGACTGACAGCTCTGCAGCCCCTTCTGATTCAGCGTGCCTAAACTGATCTCTTGCAATTGATACTACCTACCAAGTAAAATGACAGAAGGTGAGACCTACAGGTATCAGAAGGGTACAGTTAGTTGGTTTGCTCATCTATCCAAACAGCAGACAGCTTTCAGAGAAGCTGGAGAAGCACTTTGGAGATAAACCCAACCAAGGCAGCTTGGAGAGAAGTTTGAGTAAAATGTCCTTAGAGGACTGTGATAGAATGAGAAATAGCAACAGAGATGCCTGAGAAGCCAGGAAAGCACGGTGCCATAGCAGTTTTGAATCTCCAGATTTATTGTGTATTTTGCAGCATTGCTGAGACGTTCCAGAAGCAACCTCAAACCTTGCATGCTGTTGTGCAAGCTACTGCACAGACATGCAGCTACAGACAGTCCCTGCCCTAAAGAGCTCAGAATTACAGGAACAACAAGATTCAACAGGTGGATGAAGCAACAGAACATACATAAAATCTCTCCCCACCTTACCTCCCACGGGTTTTGGATTAGGACAAATGGAAGCTGCAGATAAAAAGGCTGTTACTTGAGAAAAATTTTTCTCTAGTCCCAGAAGAATTTTGATCAGTATTATTACTCACCGCTAGCAAGCATCCAGCAAAAACAGTAAATCCCTTTGCATGAAGCTGTTTTGCCAAGGCATGTCCAAAACCTTTGTCACAGCCTGTTATGAGCACCGCCTTCCCTTCGGCCTGTATGGGAAAAGGCAATATGTTATCATCAGACACTAATCCTGCAGGTACCAGCAGCATTGAGCTACACAGCAAAAGAGCAGCTTACAGACCTGCAGCCAGTGTTTAGAAGGTACAGCTAGCAATTAAGAGGCTGTATGGCTGATACGTGGACTCTGTGGGGGGCTGAGCTCACCTGACCTAAGCTATCTGAAAGATGGCCGTTCATGTTAGCAGTCAAACATCCTTGTGAAATCCACAGAGAAGGAAAGGCAGCCCCTATAGAACACCTCAGAACCTATCCAGAAGAGCTGGAATAACTTCCCTCCAGACCAGAGGGAGCTCAGATAACCATCTCAGATCTGGTGAACCATTGTGGACAAGTACCACTCTGAAAGCAGCAATAACCTAAATGCAACAAAGCCTGGTCATATTTCTCTGCAGCTCAGCTCCCTCCCTGTGCATGATGGTGGGCACAGACTCAAGTCATGATGACCACTGACCTGTTTCACTGCAAACTAGATCCAGTGATTTTATGGAACTCCTGCTGGAGCAACCAGCACAAAGGTGTAGGTGAGATTCCTGTGTAGAAAAACAACCAGCTCCCAACTACCATGAAATCCTAAGTTTATTTTATCACTGGTCTGTAACAACTTGTGTTATCTTGATACCCTAGCTAAAACTGCAGCTATCAAGTATCAGTGGCCAAATCTGCACAGACGTGTTTTAAAATAAATGAGTGATCTATCAGCTCATAGGCTTATGAGAAAGAACAGCATAGAAAAAGTTACAACGACAGTATGTCATCTGTCCAATCAGCACAGCAGCTCTTTTGACTGCAGTGACTATTGTCTGTACCCTTCTTACTCCCACTCTATGCAGTACTTTTCATGCTGTATTTTAGCAGGAGTGTGACTACAGCTTAGGGCTTCCTTTTGAAGCACTGAACTCTTAACAGGAACCGTTTGTCAAATCCCGCAGTTCCCTCCTACATTATTATCTTTTGACTGACAGCTAAATTGAGAGAGAAGATTTGATACTACATCTGCTTTGACATAACAGGCTTGTGATAGTTCTGAAAACAGAACTCAAAATCCCGAATAGAGTTCCATACCAAAACATTGCACATTCATCCTCTTTCTTTGCTTGAAAGCCATCTTACCCTCTCTTTGGCACTGCTGTGAAGCAGTGAACTCTTGAGATGTTTCTCAACCAGCAGCCACCCAAATGCAGTGCTCCAGACTGTACCAAACAGAAACTCTATCTGTCAGGTGATAACGTGACATGGCAATAAATGCCTGGAGAATGCAGTAAGGAAGTGAGGTCACTTCCATCTCAGCAGAGGCATTCACTACTAATATTCCCCACTGCCACATTAATTGCTTATGGAATACAAACATTTGTATTTTATACTACCTATATAGGAATTTCATCATCTTGCCCAACCACTGTTTCAGACAGAAATCAGGCAACCCCCAGTGCTCTGATCCCTTGTTCTGCTGACATGTGGTAGTGAAATGGCAATAAGGGATAACTGCAGGATGACAGTGATCAGTTACTGCCCATACTTAAACAAGGGCAACAGGCAAACGAGCAACGCCCTCTCCCATCCACAACTTATTGCTTCAAAGGACAGTCAAGAAGTGAAGCTGAAGTGAGAACTGATGAAAAGTCTGTCCTGCATTTATCACATCAACACCCACATGAACACTGACTCCTATAGTCAGGCAAAAATGCACCCAGCTACAGACTAGTTCTACGGAACTGTTAAAGATAGCTACAGCTAAAGGATATAGGCTGAGTTAGAACCAGATATAGTGCTCAGTCTTAACCTACAGTGACACAATTTTAAGAAAAATGAGGATCAATAATGAACCAGAGCACAGACCTGCCAAAGTTACTTCCCACGTTAATTCAGCAACCTGACCCTTAAAGAACACACCTTTCTTCTTTTTACTGCCTTACCATTTGCTTTTGAGTCCTGAACACAAAGAACTTCCAGAAAGCAGAGGAAATGAGCAGGACATAAAGAGCCCTGATCACATCCAAAGACCAGAACAGGCAAAAGGAGAAGTGTACCCCTCAGCCAAGGGCAGCTGCCCCCTCAGTCAGTCTGGTAAGGGCAGGTACATGAAACAAGGGAAGACCCATCTATAAATGGCTGGGCTGTGTTCCTATCTTCATCGAGTTTAACTCACAGCAGCTGTTTAGTTTTCTCTGGTTAAAACAAACAAACAAGCAACAGCACAACAAACCAACCACCAACATGTACACAAAAAAACAAGGATGGGGAAAAATCCTCCCAGCAACCTACAGTGACCAGAAAGGTGAGAAAGAATTTACAGTACAGAAGGCTCCTGTGATTACTAATCATTTGTTATTATACTCAGAGGCACACACACTCCATAAGCTTTTCCTACTGGGATACGAATGCTTTGTTAAACAGTAGAAGCTTTTATTTATGTAGGTAATCTATCCAAAGTGTACACATTTATTGCAATAGAAACTAAGCAAAGTTACTTCGTCAGCCCTAGTCTTCCTACAGTTTCAGAGCTTGCCCTGTCTCTTTCCTTTTCTACTTTGTGCCATGTTATTTTCCACATGCTGTTGCCTTGGAGGACATCCCTGATCATTTCCTTGTTATCAGGTACGTTAATTTGAAGATAAGAACAAGCAGTTACATTGTAAACTTTCCTTGTTCCTTATTTCCAGAGTTAGGAACTCGGGGCTTTCAATCCCAGGAAGAGAAACTGAAGATGTTCTCTAAAGAGGTCTTTTTCCCAACATGCAGAAACCCCTGCCTGCAGGACAGCCACCAGTCACAAAATTCCTTTGCTAGAGGAATCTCTGAATTATTAACTTTCCTGCAGTTCTGGCTAGCACAGATTGCCTGGTTACGATGCACAGGCACTGCCACTGCTTCAGTACAATAAACATTCACGGGGCAAAGTCGTATAGGCAAGTTAAAGCACAAGAAGCCAGGCACAAGTCATCACACCAGGAAGGCCTCCAAAGGCAAAGGCTGGAGGCCAACTCGTGCGCCATCCATCACCTTCATGATGGACAGACACCAAACTGCTCCTTGGCTCTCTGGAGAAGGCCGCGGTGCCACCTCTACTCAGGTACTGCCAGCCAGGGGTTCCTCGTGGCACAGAAGGCAGAGGATGGCGATGGGAAGTGCCACGTGGAAGGCAGTGAAGCAGGAGCACGGAGCTGAATCCCGGCTGCCTCAGAGCGGGCAGGAGCTGCGGATCCCTCCTGCAGCACAACCAGGAGCCGAGCTCACCGAGAGCACCCGGCCGGGCTTCTGAAAGCACACTAAAGTTGGCCGGTCACGCAGTTATTCCATTCACGGGGCTTTTTTCTCCGTTACATTCATTTCCTATAATGTCAAAGGCCGTACGAAGATCCGCGCGTTCAGCACTCGCCGAACGCAGCGCAGCCGAATGGCTGACAAGGGCCCGGGAGCCGCGGCACGTGCCGGGCTTCGGCTCTCAGCGGCCCGGCTCCCCCTCGCAGCGCCGACTCTACGCTTCCCTCAGCCCCGCACAGCGGCGAGAGGAGCGAGGCCGGCCCGCCGCCCCCCCGGCCCCCGCCGCTGTACTCACGGGCAGGGCGCGGCGGAGCCGCCGCAGGAGGCGGGGGGCCAGGCACAGAGCGGCGCCCAGCGCCAGCAGCACGGCGGGGCCGCGCATAGCCGCGGCGGTTCGGCCTCAGCCTATGGCCGCCGTCTACCGCCGCCGCCGCCCGCGCCCGCCCCGGCCCTTCCCCCGGCCCGCCCCCCGCCGCGCCCCAGCAGCCGGTTTGAGGCCCAGCCTCATTCAAACGCAGCGCCCGGGACTCCCGCCGGCCGCAGGTAAGGGGCTGCCGATGACCTCGTGCCCGCGGGGAGGGGGCGGGCGAGCCGCGCCGCTTCTCCTCTTCCTTCTCCTCTTCCTCCTCGGGGCCTCGCAGGCCGCGCGGGCAGCGGCTCCGCCGACATCTTCCCTCGCCCCCCTCGCGGGGCCGGGCCGCCGAGTGACAGCCGCCCGCCGGGCCGCCCGGGCGTTTCGCCCCACGCCGCCGCCCAAGGACGCATCCATCGCCCTGCAGCGGTGCGCACCGCTCGGGCACGGCCGAAGGGCGGTACCGGCACGCCGGCAGCGTTTCGGGGCTTCCCGGAGCCGCCCGGTCCCTGCCGAAAGTGGAGCGACGTTGGCGCCTTTAATGCACGCTTTCTAGACCTTTCTTTGCTGAGCTGCGGCCAACAGCAGCTCTTTCATAGCAATTTTAAGCTTAGGCCCGTTTCCAGCAGGCCCTAAAATTGCAGAATTCAACGGAGGCGTACATAAAGCCTAGCACTTAGACACCATTTTTCAGCTGCGGTGAGGGAGACAATAATGCCCTAAGCTGGGGTGCGTGTGCTGGATCAGTTTTAAACAAAAAAGAAATGAATACAATGGACTTTCTGAGCTTAATTCCTGCTCTTGAGCCGTGTTCTCCCCTGGGTCACAGGGACTCCTGTGCACAGCCCAGTATCACAGCTGCTCCATTACAAGGAAATGCATTTCTAACCACGTGGCTGTATGAGCTGCATTGCTTCGGGAACATGTAGCACAATGTCACCTGTGCCTCCAGCATCTGTTTTACATCATATATTGTACTCAAAATAATAAATTCCAGTTTTCAGTTGTTTCAGAGAATTGTCTAAGATGCAATAAACAAAGAGAAATGGACACTTTCTTTAAGTGACTGCCTGCTTGTCAGCCCATCTGTAGTCTTGTTTACGAGCACGTTGAGGTGGCTAAAGGTTGAGCCATTTATCTCAGGATGAGGAACTGCAAGGGGAAAGGATGAGTTCCTTTGGACTTTATTTTGTCTTTAAAATGTACAGAGTCAGCATGACTTACAAAATAATTGAGCAACTAAAGGTGAGGTACTATCTTGCCTTGCAGAGCTAAGGAAGAGCAGGCTCGCTGTTGATAGAGCGTGTTGATTAGAAGCATGTTGGCAACCAAGCTGTCCCGTCCTCTCCTGAACCTCCCTGTAAAAACCCTGACTTTCAAGAACCCAGGGAACAAGTCCAGGTAAGTAACTCAGTAGAGAAGAGCAAGATCTTGAGTAAAGCACACATCACTTGATTTCAGTGGGGCAGTTTATTTACAGTGTCAGAATTGCTGAGGTTGGGAGGGCCCTCCAGAGGTCATATGGTCAACCTCTTTGCTCAAGAAGAGCAAGGAGCTGCTTGCCCAGGACCACATCCCAGCTGCTTTTGAAAGTCTCCAAGGATGGAGATCCTACAACCTTTCTGGGCATTCCTGAACATCAGCAAGTAGGCGTTGGTGCAGTGCAAGGAACCATCACATGTTTCTGTAACTGTAATAAAGAGATAATCATGTAAAATGGGAAAGTTGATGACAATTTTAATGAGAAAGAAAGGTAGGTTGAATAACAAAACTGCCTTTTTTCTTTTTTGGAACATAAACAGGCAGAAAATTATTTAATTCTAATTCCTAACTCTGAAAAAAAAAAAAAAAAACAAATCTTTGTACCTGTCTGTGGTGAGAATCCTGCTAGTCCAAACCCAGCGCAAACTGAGTACTTTCACTGGCTTTAGAACAGGGCTCCCATACAACAGTAAGCATGCCACTGATTGTAGAGTGGTCCGCTAAGCAAGAATTTACACCTTCAGTGTTCTACTGCTGCTGATAATGGTATCACACTGTCAAGGCTGGCACTTGAAACAGCAAAAGATAGCTAATCTGTTAGAGATTTCCTATGCTGATCGGCAGCAGACATCTGTTATATCATGTGACTGTAGATCAGCTTCCTTTCCACCTAGTTCAAAGCTTCTGCTCTGTTCTCTAGCCTTGTTTTCTGAAGATGCAGCTCAGAGGCCAGTATCTGCAGATTGCAGTTCAGTATTGCATAGATCACCCTGGGAGTGCCTGTGATTTCTGAGAAGAGATAATTGTGAGTGATTAAGCAAATTCAGCCTCAAAAGAGGAGCTCTGTTGGAGGATAGATGTTATCAGAGGAACCAGAGAACAGCTGAAATACAGTATCCAGAGGAAAGCAAGGTAGCAGGCCATGGCAGTGCTCAAAGCAAACTGAAAAAGCTGATAGAGCCCAGAGAGGTGGCTGGCAAGGTCAGCAGGCAGGGTTAGCCTGGCATGTTCTCTAGACCCAGCTTTGCTAGATTATAGCAAGGCCTAAGATAAGATGTTACTGATAACAAGACTTTTCTGAACAGATTCTCCCCTGGAAGGCATTGTTGCTTTGCTCTGATCTGTGTTTTTAGCACAATGTATATTCCTCAGAGTCAAACATACTGTGCAGAGTAGCTTTAGATCTGCATGGCACATATTGTGCAAAAACATCTTTGTTTTAACAGCTGCTAAGAGGGATATGAGATCTAAGAGGATCTAATGGGCACACACTGCAGAAGTGTCATAGGTGACAGAAGGGTGGAGCTGTGTGTAAAAAGATTGAGATAATTCCAAGCAAATCAGCATTAGGATGGATATCAGACAATGCCACAGCAGTGCTTTCAGTAGACAAATGCATAACTTCCACTATCCCTGCTTTGTGCAACTCTAATGAGAGCACTGTTGCTGTTGAAAATGAAAGCACTGTACTGCTCATTTTGCAGGTGGAGGCAATTCTGTGCATTCAGACTAGGAGCTATTTTAGAATTCTCATTTTTATCCATATATAGATCCAGCAGAAATAGCATCAGAGTCTCGGGAGAAACAAGTGTTTCCTACTGTAGGAAACAGACAGGCTTAGACTAAGGAGAACTGTAGGTAAGATTGTTTTCTCAGATGGCAGTCCACATTATGTATAAAGGCAACACAATATTCTTTTTCACATACATTTTTCATATGTAGCACCAAGGTATGGACAGGATATTCCATGCTTGATTGTTCTGTGTTGCTGTTTTTCTTTAACAGACCCATGCAAAAGTTTTGCTTCCCTCTCCTATCCTCATGTGGCAGCCGCTCTTATGCAAGTGAGGTTGATCAGGTGAGTATTATTGTAGTTTCCAAGATCTAGTTCTGCTGAGCTGAGGCTTTAAACTCTCTGGAGCCTGGTGACTAAATTCTTCTTTCCTATTTGCCAGAACGACTTTGAGCTAGACCTCTTCAACATACTCCACATTCTTTCCTAGCAGAGAGATTCCATTGACGCAACATGGTACATGCTACTAAGGATAGCAATAAACAATCAGACTTTTTTTTTTTTTTCCTATTTCTGGAACTTACTCAGCAGATGAAATCTTCCACCTTAGAGTGGAGGGAATTTGCATGACAAGTTCTTAATGAAGCACTCTTTCCAGAATATGGTTGTATAAAGTGATGTAAATAAATTGGAGCATCCTCACTCTCACTCTGGGGACTGACCCTCTTCTTTAATAGCTCTTTCCTTGAAGGCACTAACTTAACAGAAAAAAAGTTTTTCTTTTTGCCTGGCATGTAACATGGCACAGAACTCAGCTCTATAACAGTACCAGAGCATGCACGTCTTGTCTGGGACAGAGTCTCAAAGGAATTCATGTATGGCCCTTGTGTTGTCAGGCTTCTGATGCAACTCTCATCAGTCCTCCTGTATCTTGGGAAAAGCCAAACTTCTAGTTTTAACAGAGATAAGCTGAAATGAGTTGCAAACAGTCATTACGTAATCCCACCCACAGCAGCACCTTACTGTGTACACACCTGGTGTTGCTAAGATGGATACATGATGCAGTTCTTAACACAGAACTTAACTGCTGCCTCGTGAGATGCAAGGTATTTGGAGAAGGAAAGAAGTGTACTGCTTATTTTTCAAACCTGTAATTTAAATAGAAGACTAATCACTGATTAATCTTAATTTCAACTATACAAGCTATATACAAGTTGTATATAAATACAACTATACAAGCAAACTGTATAAGCTGTATACAAACTATACAGCTATATAAGCTTTGTGATCCTACTTAGATTTTAAAATGCAAAGCCAGAGGGTTTATGTGTTGGAAGGAGAAAGATAAAGAAGCAGTCAGTAATATTAACCTGTTGTCATCTTCTTCAGTCAAACTATATTCCCCACACCCTGCAGGCTACAAGATAGAGAAGAGTGGATTCTTGCTTGCTCTGGAAACATAAGAACAGTTCCTACTGTAGCAAAAACATGTTTTGAAATGCGAAAATAAACCAGGCAGTTCCCAAAATGGATATGAACTGCCAGAGAATGCTGGTTTACTTGGTCTCTTTGCCTTGAAAGCCTGTTGCCAAAAGTGCTGGGAGGACAGCGATCCTACCTCACTGGAGTGATTTTTTGTATGAAGCCTTAGTTTCTCTCTTCAGGAGGCACTGGGTGGCAGTAGCTGGCAATGAACATAGAAAATGTGCCTAGAACAGGTTGCTCCTGGCCCAGGACACTATTTGTTCAGTGCACACGAATGGCTGTTCTTGATTACTCAGTTCCAGTGCATTGTTTTGTTCTGTTTTGCAGATTGGCAGCAGAGCTGTGCTTATAACAG